ACCCAACTTAGAAAAATTACCGCCCCCCAACTATGGTCAAAGAGCATTTTCAAAGGTTCTTGGAACAGGACCAAGGAGACTAGAGGTGCTGAAACTCCTTAGAGAAAGGCAGTTTGACAAGTGGAAATGGCCTCTGTCCCTATAATAGCAAGAGTCAGACTGCCCTGTTCTTGTGGAGAACCCTTCTGCTGGGACTCATATCCTATAGGGCCAACCCTTCCCCATCCCGAATCACCCACCAGAAAAGAAGGCAGACTCTGAAGGCCAGAGACCTGGGGCCCAATCTCAGCCCCAGGCTGAGCCTTTCCATCTGGGGAACTGAGATAGAAAGCTTCTCCTGTCAAGGCAGTTCTTGCGGGTCACATGTAACCACAAAGCTCCTGGGGTTGTGGGGCACTGGGAACCAGACAGGCTGTCACTACAGAGGGAGGGTGTGGGCAGTGCTGGGTGATGGGACTTTTGTCACCTGTCACCAGAATCCATACATAGATCGGTGCACAAAAAGAAAAAAATCATTTCACTGAATGATAATTTGCATTAAATTAAAAAGAGAAAGCTCCCCAGTCTGTTTCATAGCTGTTAGCTCATCCTCTCCCACCTGGTGCCCCTGAACCACCCCCAGGACCTGCGCACAGGCAGGGCATGTCCCTGCATTTTCTGAATCACAGTTAGTACGACTGGAGGAAACAGACAAAAACAAAGTAAGTCGAATACCCTCTAATCCACCTCCATACGGGACAGTTAACACCAAATAACCATCGCAAAACCCCGAATGGCTTCCTTATCTGTTCACATCACGCGCACAGCGATGTTTGGAAGACAGATGGGCTGTGTGTTTCACACATCAGCACCTCCGTCCAAAGTTCACTTCCATAGACCAGTGTTGGAGTCCCCCACTTATCCATAGGAGCAGACGAGCAAACAAAGAACTCACTTACTGTGTGAACATACGTGTTTCCAGGAGAACCACGCCCCTTCTCATTTCCTGCCCTGGATATTTATTTAAATAGTGGCTGTGGCAAAGCTGTTAGAGATAGCACAAATTAAGATAAAAATTTTCCTTCTTTCTTCAACAAACTGTTTCCACTCTGTTTCCAGGTAGCAGAAAATTGCTTCAATTATTTTGTGCTTCTCTGGTTTTCTGGCCTCCTATCAACCTAGATTTAAAAAAATAAGTCCAGCTGGGTCTACATTTACAAGGGTCAATTTAGACTAATGTGAAAACAGCTGCCAGGTGCTTTTCTGTGGTGCGGAGGGTCTCTGCCGTGAAGTCAGCTGTCTGCTTTCTCGGGAAATGGAACATCTTGTCAGAAGAGATAAGATAGGTTCTCAGTTAGCTGAGCCTCACTGGGCCGGCGACCACCTGGATACGTCTGGGTGAAAAACCCTTTCTGCACATTTCTTAAGCTTTTTTTTTCACCTTACCATATCAAACTATCAATATTTGCACCTCTCTGGGCAAATACCTGCCACCCAAGCCCAGGCCACATTTAGTCACAACCACCTTTTCACAAGAGAGTTTAACCCTCTGAGGTAATGCCCCAGCGGTCATGTTAACGGAGACCTTTCTTAAGGAGACCATGTGCAGTGACAGCTCAGCTAACACCATCTCTCCCAAAGTGGGTGAGTAATCACATTCATGAACCAGGCAATACTGCATGTAAAAAGAACACAACAAAATAAATTCAGAATTCAGAAACTATTGCACAGAACAATCAATGGTTGCCAAAGAATTCATCGAATCACACCCCTGAGGGTGAGGAGCCTTGGGCTGGCATCTCAGCCCAAACGGCAGGTTCGCCTGCTGCTCTTGCCCTTTTCCACGGGGACCCAACAGGTCCTCACATTCCACAGCGCACAGGAATTCCTGGAGCATGTGCCAGCGCAATGGGGCCCCGCGGAGGAAAGTAGACAGCAGACTTCCAAATTTAGCACACCCCCACACCTGCTCCTGGGCACCACTGAGGGTGATCTGGGCGACCAGGAGTGAAAACAGATGGGCTTTTAAAGCAGAGCTGCAAGATGCTGAGACTCAGCTCGGCTGGGCACAGAGCGGAGGCCATCTGAAAATCTGTTTTATTCCCCACACGTTCCCCCTGAGTCTGACACATTCAGCTGCCATCTCTGGACACAGGAGGCCACGACAGTCCCACCCGACAGTCCCACCCGATGCATCTGGTTTTGTGGGTGAGCCCATGTCGGGTGCTTCCCCTTCCTGAAGAAAGCCCAGGGTTTCCCATGAGCCCCAATCCTTCCGCACAGGAACATGAGCTCCTGAGGGCGAAGGAGGTGGAGAAGCGGGAGGAGACAACGGGCAGAGAAAGGTTCAGGCTTTGGGAAGGAAGCAGGGCGCTCACTTTGGGGGAGGGGCAGGCTGCTCTTTCCTCACAACCAGTAAGGAACAGCAAGGGCTGCAGACCCCAAGAAGCAAAGATGCATTTGTGCCTCTGTGGCAGGAAGGATGCTTCGATTTAAAAATAAACCATCACGCCATCTAGTTCACAAAGGAAGCCGACTGCTGCTCCTCCTCTCTCCTCAGCCCCGTGTGAGCTTGCTGGTGAATGAAAAATATGTGTGGGCAAATCAGGAGGCAAAAAACAAAGGAGGAAAATAAACACTCAGCCATCTTCAAAGACAGGCGCAGCGGTGAGGTCTGACTTTGGACTCTTCAAGCAAAATATGCACGAAAGGTTGAGTACCTAACCTTTGGCCAAGGAAAATTGCATCTCTTTAGCAAAAGGAGGAGGGTCCTGTGTGGCTGCCCTTGAAGGCAGGGCTGCCTGAGCAGGCTCACAAATGGGCCTCCCAGTAACCGAAGACCGGCTGAAAGACAAAGGGCTTACACTCACGTCAGATTTGTGGAAAAAGTACTGAGCACTAAACAAAAGGATGTCCTGAAATCTCGGAGAAAGGCAGAGGGAGGGAGCAAAGGCAAACCCAGGGATCGAAGGAAATGCAGAGAAGAAAAGTGCTCAATGGTTCCAGCTCTGACAATAGTGTCACAGATAACGGTACACTGTGTGCCATGAGGGAGGCTTTTGCACCAGAAATACACGGGCACATGGGTGGTGCAAGGGCAGGAAGCTAAAGTGATTAAAGGGGAAAGGGTGTCCTTGAAGAAAGGGAGAAACCGGGGCATCCCACCCACCGCCTTGGCATCAATAAGGAGCAAACACTTGGATCTCTGAGGCACCGTGTGCTCTGCAGGCCTCACCCTGGGGCTGAGTGCAAACGGCTAAATAAACAGGTTACAAGTGACATGGCTGGGGCCGGATCTAAGGTGCGTCTTCCACAGGCATCACTATTTGGAATGACAAAGTGGGTGTGACCGCGAGGGAACCAGATGCAGATGGCAGAGAGAGAGAGAGTCAGCCGCTCAGGCCTTTCCTGGGTGACCACGGCCCCCTGCACGTTCTGGAGACTGCGCTGGAATGCTGAGGACATGGCGGCAGCAGCCTGGGCGAGGGGCGCCGGGGGAGGGGTGCTGGTGGGCAGGGTGCGGGGAGCTCACACAGGTGGACGAGGCTGCCGGGCATCCGGCCCGGAGAGGGAAGACCACACTCGCCATCTGCAGAACGCAGGAGGTCGGCCCCATCCCCGCATCCCGGGGTCAGTCCTAAGGCCACCCGGGCCCCTGCCGTTGTCCACGTAAAGGCTGTGTCCCAGAGGCTCCTCCCTTGGGGCTCACAGCGAACTGAGGGAAGTGCACCCCTTTCAGTGACACGACTCAACGCTGCCTGCAGCCGGAATACCATCGCTGCATCCGGGGCAGTCCGGGGCAGTCCGCGGATCTCCTCTCTTCGCCGCGTCCATCCGTAGGGGGGCCGCCGCCCCCTCGGCCTCCTCTCTCCTCCCTCCTCTGGGGTGTCGCTGGGCGACCGCTAGGGACTGGCGGTCGCAGCGGACAGAGACGGGTCTAGGACCAGCGCCCTCGCCCGCAGAAGCGGCCCTCCCCGGGGCACTCAGCCCCGCGTCCCCCTGACCGGTGCGACCCGGCGGGAGGCGGCTGGGCAGCTGAGCAAACAGCTCGCGGGAGGCGACCGGCGCCGAAGGCTGGAGGGAACAGGCCGGCCGAGCCCCGGGGCCGGGGCGCGTCAGGCGCCGCGGAGGGAAGACGCCCCGGGCCCCCAGCCGGGCCCTGTGGCGACGGTGACCGGCGCGGGGTGGGGGGCGGACGCGGCCCCGCCGCCCGTCTACCTGAGGCGCGCGGACGCCCGAGAGCGGAGGCACAGCGCGCGCCGGTCCCCGGGTCCGGCCGGGGCCGGGGCGGGGACGGGCTGCCGGAGACCGGGAGGGGCGGCGGGCTCGGCCCCCGGCTGCAGCCGCGTGCGCACCGCCGGCTCCGGCGGGAGTGCCGGCCGAGGCCCCGCGGACCCGGGCCTCCCTGAGCCTCCGAGGGCAGCTGCTCGGCGGCAGGGCCCCCGGCCTCCGGGCTGACGTGGAGGCAGGAGGCCGTTCGCCGTGACAACGCAGCTGGGAGCCGGGCCGCCCGAGCTGCCGGGCGGCGGGTGACCGGCAGGGGCCCCGCGGCGTGCCCTCCCGCGTCGCCGCCGGCCCGGCCTGGATGCCCCCACCCCCCGTGCACGCGGCACGGACACGCGGGGCGCACCCACGCCCGTCAACAAGGGCAGGGACCCGGCGACCCGGGCGGGGACGAGGGCCGCTGCGGGAGAAACTGAGGCGGGGGCGACGCGTGGGACCCGCGGCCACGTCACTCACCCGGCGCACCCTCGAACCCCGTCTTCCCCCCGGCGCCCCTCCCCCACCCCATCTCCTCAGACACCCCTCCCCCTCACGCACTGGGGCGCCCCCTTCCCCATCCCCACTCCCTCAGGCGCCCCTCCTCCACTCCCATCTCCTCAGGCGCCCTCCCCCCTCGCATGGAGGCGCCCCTTCCCCGACCCCCCGTTTCCTCAGAAACCCCTCCCCCAACCCCTCATTCACAAACACCCGGCGCCCTCTTTCCCTCAGACACCCCTCCGCACCCCGTCCCCACTCACCGAGCAGCCCCGGGAGCGGCCGGGCGAGGGACGCGGGCGCGGCAGGCAGGAGCGGCGGCAGCAGAAGCGGCAGCAGAAGCAGCGGCGCGAGCGGTGGCCCCATGACGGCGGCGCTCAGTCCATGGCCGCCTCTCCTCCCCGCGCTCCGCGCCGCCGCGGCTTCAGCACCGGACAGCGCCGCCGGCCCCGCCCCCGACACGCCCCGCCGCCCCAGGCCCCGCCCCCGCCGCAAGTCCGCCCTCAAGCCCCGGCCCAGGCCCCGCCCCGACACGCCCCCCTGCTGCCAGTCGCCCTCAAGCCCCGCCCCCCTCCCCCGCCCAAGCCCGGCCAACCAGGACCCCGCCGCTCCGGGGCGCACGGCCCGCCCCGCGTCCGCCCACAGGCCCCGCCCCCGACACTCCCCAGAACGGCCCCCGGACTCCCATTCTCCCCGGGGCCCCAGCCCCGCCCTCCGCCCCCTTCCACCTGCCGGCGCTCAGCCTCCTCCACAGTACCTCTGTCAGTCAGCCCTCGAGCCCCAAGCCCTCCTTCCACCTCCGCCCCTGCCTCACCCTTTCCACGCCCCTCGCGGACCCCCTTTTTCACCCGCCACACCCCACCACCACGCCCCTCCCCGAGGAGAACCCCTCCCCACCCACCATACTCCCTCTGAGGACCTCCCCACTCCAGATTCCCGTGCCTCCTGCGGAACCCTCCCCAACCACCACCGCCCCTAGGAACCCCCGTGGACCACCCTCCCGCGGAACCCTGTCTCACCCCCACACACACCCCTGCGAGCTCCCTCTCCACCCCTGCGGACCCCAGGCCCGCCTTCCCAGGGGGCCGGGGATGGGGGGTTGGGGGGTGTGACACTGGCCTCCCTCACATGCACCGAAGGGTCCGCGGGGAGTCAGCAGCACACCTGTCCTGGGACAGAAAGGCAGAACTTTCTCTGCCAGGCCCCGGGGGCGGTGATCCCAATGCTGTCCCATGCAGAGCCCCAGACCACACGGGGCTGGCCCACACTTCAGTGTGGCTGGAGCCCGTGGTAGACCTGGGTGGGAACATCACCTGGACAGGGAACGTTAGGGCTCCCTGGAGCTCAAGCTGTGCAGGGTCTGAGAGCTCGTGTCAGCCAGGTGTGGGGGGTGGGGTGTCCTCAGCCTGGAAAGGGGAGGGGCTTGTGGGAGCCTAATCTGGAGGACCAGCTGGGAATGGGGGCTGGAGCGTGGAAGCCCCTCCTGAGATCTGAGCTCCTGTCTGGGCCTCAGGACTCCCTGGGGTGGTGGGGGCGCTGAGATGGGATCTGCCAGTGGTCCTCCCCTGCTCCCTGTAGCCTGGCCCTGTGTTGGCCACTGTCCCAGGGTCTGGGGAAGGGCTTCCGGGACCTGTGTACTCCCCAGGAGTCAAGACCGGGGTGCAGCTGTGGTGTTGGTGTCGGTGTGTGTGTCGGAGACAGCGGGCATGAATGTGTGTGAGGATGTGTATGTGTGGCGTGTGCCCCTCACAGGTAAAGCTCATGCCGGACAGGCCCAGGAGGAAACTCAGAAGCGGGAGGGCAGGACATGGAACTCCATTCACTGATGTCACTTTGTGATGCAAAGGACCCGTTACCAGTTACCCTCACTCCATTTCTCTGTCATAGACGAGGTTCTATGTCATCACACATCTGCCCAAATGACAGTCACAGTCACCGCAGCTCTCCAAGGACCACAGCCTAACTTCGCCCAGGACGACTCGGAGGCAAAGTCTGGGCACACTCCACCTGCATTTCAGTGAAGGAGGGAGGAGCTTAGGGCCCCTCCCGAGCCTGCATCCTGGAGGCTGTTTGCTTTTGGGGCTGTGGTTCAAAGGAGCCTGGACTGTTTGTTCTTCCATTGTGTGGCTGGGTGTCTTCCTGAACCTGTCCTGCTTCACCCAAGCGCCCCAACCTCAGGACTCCCGTCACGTCAACACTGGGGGGTAAACGCCCCAAGAAAGGGAAAGTGGGGAACCAGAGGCAAGGAGGTGACGGTGACAAAGGCACTGGGAAGCAGCTGCAGACCCACGGGATGGCCCCAGAAAGAGGGAGGACGGCTCTGCCATTCCTGTGTTCCGATCAGAGCAGACCAGCCCCGGGCTGCGCTCCACAAGCCAAGGTCTCTCCTCTGCCAACATGACAAAGGCTGAGGGCAGAGAAGTGGAGTGTGTGGAGGAGGCAGGGAGGGAGCCATTCCTACACCCTGCTGCAGGCCGTCACCCCACAATGCTGCCCGCCCTCCAGCATCCTGGTGTCACCAGGAACCAATCATCACTCCGAGGCCTCCTCTGGAGTGCCCTGTGCTCCCTGCACCCCCTACCGCAGCACCTCCCTGCACTGAACACCACCACAGGGAGAGGGAAGCTCCACCCCCAGTGCTGTTCCTGGGCCCCAAAGCTCAGAAGGAAAGGACTGGGTGGGCTGAGCACGTTGGAGGCTGTGTTGCCGACAGCCATGCAGCGTGTTGTCTGTGAGTGCCGTTCCCCTACGGCCACAAACACTCCAGGTTATCTTTGTGGGACTTCTCCCCTGGACATGTGTTCGTCCAGATGTGCCTCAGGCAAAGGCCTGGGCTTCATGGAGGGCGGGCAAATGCTCTGTCCTGGAATGTTGGTCACAACCAAGTGACCTGAGCTGGCAATGGTGGGCGCCGAGGGCTGCAACTGGCTCCCGAGCCTGCTCCCCACTCCCTACTGGCACCTGCGTCTCTGCCTCACACACTGCCCTCTGCTTTGCTGGGGCTGCTGGAGGCCTCTGTGTGGCTCCTCTGATGGGTTTGCTGGCCTGTGTAAGTCGCCAGGCCTCAGACTTCTTGTTACTGAGTAACAGTCACCAGCGGGGAACAATCAGATGAAATGCTAACTTCACAAAGACCAACTAGGCCCCAGACCGTGATCACGATGACAGAGAGGCACCACGATTATCTCCATTCTGCAGGTGAGGGGACAAGCTGAGGAGATCAAACCGTCTCCCCAAGATCCCACAACCACTGAGTGGTGGAACTGGGGCTCAAAGCCATGGCAATCTTGCTTAGAGTCCAGAGACATCCTGCCGTCGCCACACTTTCAAGTTCACCGTCTGATCACTTGGTGAGAAAAGTCCTGAAGCTGGTCCTCATGACGGCGCCTCAACGCCTGCAGAGCAGGTGGTCGGCCAGGGGGTCGATGCCATGGGCGCTGGGCATCTCAACGGGCTTTGCCCAATTATATCAGCTTCTTTCACTTCAGGTTGGTGGTAGGAGACCAGAAGCCTCTTGCACTGATCTTCACCAAAATTTACTTGGCAGAGGGTCACATTCTCTCAACAAGCTGACTAATCCACGTGCTTCTGGAAGACATTCATATCCTCTGGTGCTTCCCCAGAATGCTCTAGATGGAGAGGTGGTACCTGGAACCCTGGCTGAGTCTCCAGGCGCAGAAGCAGAAAGGGATCAAGTCAGAGCCCTGGGCGCTGCCCTCCCCTCAGGGACACCTGGCTCAGGACCTGCTTCTCCTCGCATCGTCACCCAGCACGCAGGCATCTTGACCCACGGGTGCACGAGACAAAGAAGGAGGCCTTGTCAGACCAGGGCTGTGCCCAGCGGGGTCTCCGTTCTCTGACCAGTTCTGCTTGGGGCCGGGGCGCAACGTGCCCAAATGTGCCAGCTCTCACCAACGGGGCCGCTTCCCATCAGAGCAACTGAGTGTTGTTGCCACGTGGACGTCAGGACAAGGCTCTGTCCAGCGAGGCACCACTCGTCCCCCCGCAGTGAGCGAGCCCGAGGACCACAGACCACCCAGCCTTAATGGAGAGAACAACGGCCCCCTTTGGAGAGGCAGGTACACACGTCCCTGAGCACACGGAGCAGAGCTAAGGCTGCAGGGTGGTGGGCTGAGGTCCTAATTCAGAACTGATATGATGTTCGCTGGCAGAGCCAAAGCAGCACAGCTTTGCATTCCATTTGGACTCTAGCTCCCACCTGGCAGCACTGGAGAGTCGGGTGACTTTTGGGGACGGGTGGAGAGCAACCCTCACTCCCGCTGTGAAGTATTAGTGACAGCCCGGGTGCCCCCGTGGGGCCCACACCATGTGTGAATCGGCAGCATGAGCTTCCTCACACAGCACACGCTGCAGGGCGTAGCAGGGATGTCTGAAACCAGGAAAGGGGAAGCATGTGTGCCAGCTCCTGTTTCAGGGGCTTTGTCTCGACACCTTGCTGGTGGGAGAGGGGGAGCATCACGCAGACTTTAGAACTAGAGTCGGCACCCTACATGACCGGCCCAGGTCTCACAGCTCAGGAGGCTGCACCGAGCGGGAAGCCAGACCGGATGGCACAGCCACGCCAGAACGTCCCACGGCTGTCTCAGAACTCCGGGACCGGGGCGCTCCCGGCATGACCCTTCCCAGGGACGCTGGGGTCCTGTGCAAGCTGCACGAGAACCAGGCTGAAGAGGCTCCTCCTGGCTGAAGGCGAACTGCGTGATGTTTAAAGAAACAACTGCACCGGAGTCAAACCCATCAGGCCCAGATACGCGTTTGCTCACCACGACACCAGGACTGGTGCCCCTCAGGGCCGCACAGGCACCGGCTCCCTCTTCCACGGACTGTGCAAGAATCAGAGCATTTTTCCTGCCCGATCGCAATCATCAACTGTCGGTAACTGCAAGTGCGGCAGGACATCATCCACGTGGCGGAAGACGTTTTCTGCCACCTCGGCCCCAAAGCACCAGTTTGGGCAGTCGCCCACGGAGTTTGCAGAAGGCCCCGAGTCTAGCAGGGCAGTTCCGGCGCGTGGCCGGAGTAGAAATCCAGGGCTGGACACACTGGGGAGGGGAGAGGGACAGGTTTGCTCCACCGTCGCCTCTCCCAGGGCCCAGAGCCCCTCTGTCCCTGATTGCTCCCGCACAGGAACCTGAGAGCATGTGAGCACCGGGGCCCAGCTGTGTGGACATCTCTTCCCTCACCCCATCGAGTGCCGAGGTCCCTGCACGATCCTAATAACTGATTTTATTTTTAGACAGATGGGAAGGGAGGGAAAAAGAGAAACATCAATGTGTGGCTGCTTCTCCTGCACCCCCTACTGGGGACCTGGTCTGCAACCCAGGCCTGTGTCCTCACTGGGAATTGAACTGGCGACCCTTTGGTTCGCAGGCCGGTGCTTAAAACACTGAGCCATGCCAGCCAGGGCTGGAT